TGTGCTGAACATGGAGAGATGTGTTTTACTCTTTTTTTTTTCTTTTTTTGCCACTATTCTCTAAACAGCATTGCAATTGTCTGCCTGGCAAGTATTAGGTCTCAGGCATTGCAAAAAACCTAGAGAAAGTACAAAGTGCACAGGAAGACGTGCAGGGGTTCTCTGCAAACACCAGGCCATTTTGGATAAGGACCTTGATCAGCCCCCACTTTACATATCCAAGTGGGGCCCCAGCACGTGTCCCTTGCATACAGACAACTTCCCAGCCCTGTGTACCCTGGGCACAGCCATGGAGCAGCCACTCTGCCACCTCGACATGGTTGGCAGCCACCCACATCCCTCACCTTGTAGACCAAAGCACGCAGATCCAGGTTCTGGCTCAGGACCACAATCAAGGGAAACACTTTTGACCTAGGCAGCCCACACAGCTCCATGGTTGCAAAACTGGACTGTGCATCCTCAGGAAAGGTCAGCAGGAGACGGAGGAGTTCTTGGTCGCATTTTTCAGACAGAGCCACTGTGAGGGCACTGGGGAGCACCTGTGTCAAAACATGAGGATCACAGTAAACACCCCTGGAACACTGCATGTGTCAGCCCCTGGCCTCACTTCCTGGCAGAGGACAGGGTCCAGGAGTTGTGTTCCCAGCAAGCTGAAGGAGCATGAGTAGCCTGTGTTCGTCAGCCTCCTGTAGCTGTGACAAAATCCTCAGGAAGACAGTGACAGGGGGAAGGTCCATCTGGCTCAGGGTTTCAGATGGCTCAGTCCATGGTTGTGTGGTCACTGACTTGGGATGTGGTGATACAAAGTGTGATGGGAGCATATGAGGGGATGGGGGAGCATGTGGTGAGAGTACGGGGGAGCTGCCATCCCTGTGTCCCCTTCAAGGGCACCACCACCCCAGTGACCCAACCTCCCCCAGCCGGGCCCCACCTACTCAAGGCTCCAGCACCTCCACATAGCCCACAGGCACAGGGGCATCTATGTGGGGGACACTCGGGTCAGAGCCACACATGGCCCAGATCCCTGGGCTCTTGTCAACACTGCTGTGGGTCAGACTGAGGTGGACATCAAGAGTCTCGTGTGCTGAGGCTACGGCTTTAGAAGGTGACTGGATCACTGAGGCGCTCTAGCTGAATGTGCTGTCAGGAGCTGGGGTTTGGTGGGAAGAGCCAGTCAATGGGGCATGGCCTGGAAGGATGCAGCTCCCTCCCCAGCTCCTCCCTTCCCTCCACTTCCTGGCTGCTGTGCAGTGAGCAGTTCTCTTCCACCAGACCCTCCCTCTATGATGTTTCTGCATTGGAGCCAGCCGTGCAAGGACTAAAAGTTCTCAAAACGGTGAACCCAAATAAACCTCTCCTCCTTTAAGTTGTGCACGTTGGGTATCTTGCCTCCGAGATAATAAAAGTGACTGAGACAAACATTTTTCAAGAACATGCCTCTGATACTGTGAATCATCCCTGGACTTCTTATGCACAAAGCTGGCCCGGCTTGAGGAGCCCTCTCACAGCGCCTTCCTCCTCTCTGCAGGGCTCAACCAAGCACTGCCCTCCTGGTCAGCCTTGGGGCCTTGGGTGCCTGATGCTAGGTCTCGCCCTTTGCTTTCATCTCACCTGCTTCTACTCTCCACTGTTAACGATGTGAAGCTGACATTTTTGCCTCCTCCATGTTTGAGTTGAAAATAAAGACTGGCAAGCTTGTTAAATTTTAAAAAAGAAAGAAAAAGCAAGCTGGGGGTAGTGTGGTGCATGCCTGTAACCCAGCACATGGGGAGACCAAGGCAGGAAGATACAACTTTGAGTTCTACCTGGACACCTTAGTGAGAATGTCCCGAAATAAAAAGGGCTGAGGATGTAGCTCAGCACAAAGGCCCTGGTTCTAATCTTTGTGCTATAAAATGCCAAAAAGAAAAGGTGCTAAAGTATGCTGGCCAGGTGTGGTGCTGCAGAGTGGAGTCCCACACTCTGGTAGGCTAAGGCAGGAGGATTGATAAGTTTGAGCTTAGCCTGGGCTAAGTGACTTAGTGAGACCCTGTATCAAAATAAAAAATGCAAAAAGGGCTGGGGATGCAGCTCATTGCAAAGGCCCTGGGTTCAATCCCCAGTAATGGAGGTGGGAGAAGAGAGGGAAAGGGAGAGAAGGGAAGAGACAGCAAAGGATAACAGAGAGAGATCGCACAGTACACTAGTCAGAGTGCCCCAGAGACAAACCCAGTAGGGAGGGCCAGTGTGTGAGTGTGGTGTGTGTGTCAGTGTGTGTGTGTGTATGAGTGTGCGTACACACACGCTTCATCTACACAGTAAGGAAAGAAAAGCACACAGAGACCTCTTCTAGGCTGAGGCTTCCACGCCTGTGGGTCTGGCTAGAGAGTGGAATGGGGACGGGGGCAGCCCCAGTCTGAAATCCACCTCCAGAGAGACCCTGCTGGCCTGGGGATCCAGTCTGCTCTGACAGCCTGGCGGGTCAGATCTAAGCCTCCCCCCAATGAGTCGCCTGGCTTTCCACAGGCCTCGGCCCAGATGGGGTGACAAAGGCCTCTCCTCCTGTCCTGCTCATGTCTAGGGCATCACACACTGGAACCAGCCAGAGTCACATGCAGTGGCACTCTGAGAAGTGACTCTCAGGGCAGAAATACTGGTCTGGAAATTTTTTACATTTTGTACTACAAAGCGGGGGCCCTCACACCCATCCTATGCAAATTCCCACTACAAAAGCTCAGGGTGACAGCCCAGGGTAGAGTTCACTCCAGCTCCTTTTCTCTGGTTCCCCAGTCACACTGTCTATCTCTTTCAACCTTGTCAGGTCTGTTTCTCCTGTCTGAGGGCACCTGCAGCAAAGGAGAGCAGATGACAAATTTAAAACTAAATCAGTGCTGTTCTGCTCAGCTGAGAAGGAAACACATGGCTCCTGTTTAAGGCCAAGAGGCAGCTGCCAACATGGCCACACTCAGGCTGAGGCTGTGAGTTGTCAGAGATGCTCCCAAGCTCACCTTGTCACTGCTACCCTTCCTTAGGCGCACCCTGTGCTGTCCCTGTGGGAATTAAGCACATCCTTTAGGACCAAGCCTGACCCACAGGAAGAGCTTAAGTGAATACAGGAAGGAAAGAACAGATCAGTTCCTACAGTATTCCCAGGGCTCTAACGCCACTGATACCAATTCCCTGAAGGCCACCAGTAAAGACTAAAAATCCAGGCCCATATTTCATTAATAAGTGCATGCAGATGCAAGTAAGAAGCAAGCATGGAACAGAGCAGTACCACAAGTGCAGGTAGGTCCCAGCTAGGGCCCCACCCTGACCCCAGCAGCTTCAACCCACAGACCCCAGCAAAAGGCCCACATGGAAAAGAGCTACACAGGCACACAAGCAACAGCCAGAGGTTCTCCATTGGTAAGTGCAGGCAGACCCCAGCCAGAAGCCCACTCAGACACCAGAGAGTGGGGTGTGCACAACCCCCAGGCCAAAGGCCCTCCCAGACAACAGCTATGCAGAGGGGCAGGCCCCAGCCAGAGACATGCCCAGATACCATCCTGAGTGTGCACAAGCCCCAGCCAGAAGGACACCACTCTGAAACCAGGAATTGGTGCAGTGATGAGCAGCAGAGAAAAGACCTCTCAGTGGCTTGCTGAGAATTGAAGACTACTAGGCAAGCAAAAAGTTACCTCAACAAAGATGCAGCAGGCTGCATCGCTGAAATGAGAAGACACATAAACAAGTCTCAAAACCAGACTTCCAGATCACCTAAGACAACCCCAAAGGGAAACAAGATGGAACAATCTGATACTCAACCACCTGGACTCCCTGAATTGGCAACAAAAGGAGATCTTGAAAAATTGAAATCAGAAATAATTTCTCAGAGAACAAGAGAGACTGTGTCCATAGTGAAAGACAAGATTGATAACTCTAGAGCAGACACAGATAAAAAAAAAGTAGAGGAGCTGAGGAACACGATGGAATCCCAGCATAGGAAACAAATGAAATCCAGAAGAAAGATGCAAACAGATATCCAGGAGATTAAAAACTCCATTGATAGTTTATGCAGCAGAATGAGCCAGTATGAAGACAGAATATCAGATACAGAAGACAGGATTGCGACCACTGACCAGGAAAGGAAACATTTCTTAAAAATAGTAAGGGAGCATGAAAAATCAATCCAGCAGTTGCCAGATAACACAAAGAAGAATAGCATGACTGATCAGAGTCAATGAAGAAGAGAGTGCAGACAACATAAAAAAACTGTTCACAAGCCAGGAAACGGTAGTGCATGCCTGTAGTCCCAGCACTCAGGAGGCTAGGCAGGAGGATTGTCATGAGTTCAAGGCCAGCATAGGATACATAATGAGCTCGAGGATAGCTTAAACTACAGAGCAAGAACCTGTCTCCACAAAAAGAAACAAAAAACAAAAACCTGTTCACAGAAGTAATGGCAGAAAACTTCCCAAGTAGGAGAAAAGAATTTGACATACAGATAAGTGAGGCATATAGGATTCCAATTAGCCATGTTTAAAAACAATCTACACCCAGGCATATAGTAGTTAAGATTCCAAAAACCCAACAGAAGAACAAAATTCTACAAGCAGTTAGAGAAAAACAAACCACATAAAAGGAAAGCCCATCAGAATCACAGCAGTGTTCTCAACACAAACCCTCAAGACAAAAATAGCTTGGAGTGAGGTATTTCAAGCCCTAAAAGAAAATAACCTCCAACCCAGATTGACATATTCTGCAAAATTATTTTTTAAAATTGATGGAGAAATAAGTTACTTTCATGACAAAGAGCACCTGAGAAATTTCATGAATGCCAAACCAGCACTACAAAAGTTTTTAAACAATATCCCAGGAAAAGACAGTGAGGATCACAACCCCAGGAAGTCCAGCAGAATGAATCCATCAGGCATGACAAGAAATTAAATGTAAAGAGGGAAAATCCAACAGAAAGAAAAAGTCATGACAATGATAAGTCAATAAATATCAGTTGTAACTATCAATGTAAGTAGTCTCAATTCCCCAATCACAAGAAACAGACTGGCAAAATGGGTCAAGAAGCAAGATCTAATGATACGCTGCATACAAGAAACATACTTAATTCAAAAAGAAACTCATACACTGAAAGTTAAAGAGTGGAAAACAATATTCCATGTAACAGGAATCTGAAAAAAAGCAGAAGTAGCTGTCCTCTTTGCAGATCAAATGGATTTCAAACCAATGCTAATTAAGATAGACATCCTTGTAAAGGGAAAAATCCAAGAGGAAGAGATGACAGTCATAACTATATGTGCACCAAATACTAGTGCATCCAGCTGTATAAAACAAATACCAATGGACATGGAAAATCAAATAAGCACTAACCCAATAGTAGTGGGGGACCTCAATACTGCACTGTCACAAATAAACAGATAAACTGGACAAAAAATACACAATGAAATACTAGAACTCAATCAACTCTTGAATAAATGAACTTAACAGATATCTACAGAGTGTTCCACCGCACAAAATCAGAATACACATTCTTTTCAGCTGCACACAGGTCGTTCTCCAAAAT